GGGGGGGGGGGGGTTACCAGTGGGCCAAGGTTGGGTGATCAGATGTTTGACCCTTTTTATTGTAAGCACAAAAGTGACATTGTTTATCCATTAGTCTCTTATATTTTGTCCCATCTTGTTGTTGTTGTTTGAAAAAAAGTACATATGTACCCGAGCTACTAGAGCATCCGTATTATTTACGAGTGCATTGCCCGAATTTTCTGTCTTAATAGCGCACATTTAGTGCATGCACGATGAACAGTATATTACATACGTCTAAAAAAAACTACAAAGTAATGCTATTGCAAAAAAAATCGGTCAAATGTAGGTATAGCTTTCGTGTTAGTAACAGATTGATATTTAATTATTTGCTTTAGAAAGGGGATAGGAGAAAATTATGTGATTGACGTTATGTCCTTAAATCTGCACTGTTGACTTATTGTGGTAAGACTCATAATTAATGCACTTTAGAAAACTTACTTAGTCTTCGCAGTGTCATTACTACAACAGGAAATGAGGTTTCAAATCTCTGACGGGGCACAATAAAGCAAAATTTTAATTGCAAAAAATTATAAGGGCCATCATCTCAACTTGAGTCACGTTACAATAATATTCAGGTAATATTAACTAATTGGACTAGCATTAAATCGACGTGATAAGCCAGCAATTGATCTTGAATAAAACATAAAACCCGATAACTTGATCGAAGAATAGCGATAATTTAATCTTAGTGGGAATAATTGTTCGATTAAGAGCAAGCAAAGTGCCTTAAAACACATTCGGGAATATTGACTGAGATGTGACACGAATCTGAACTACGACCTAAGCTAATATTTGACTTAGCAATATGTATGTGCTCTGATATTTACTATTTTAAAAAATCTACACGTACCAGGAACTTTTTGTTATCAGTTATTGGCATGGATAAGATCCCGATATCTAATTTAGAGCATTCAATTTAGTATCCCCTAAATTCAAAATCTCTCTTTCTCTCTCTCTCTCTCTCTCTCTCTCTCTCTCTCAAACCCAACGTAAAATTAAATTCCGTAACTATGTGACAACTCTTTCTAACATATGGATTTAATTCTTGTGAAGTTGATATACGGATAAAACATAAATATAATTTTGAAGGCACACAAATACTTCTAATTTCGGGATATGTCACGGGTTTCACCAGTTCTAAGAAATCGGCTGGCGGTCGCTTGAAACCCAAACCAACAGAACCAGATACTCTGGTCATAAAAACACGTGTAAAAACAAAAACTCTTCAAAAGGTCGCCGATATCCTTGAGTTGCGTGTGAAACATGGGTTCTCGTGTACTAGTCGTTCGCATTTACAACAGACAAAAACCCTTGAGCGCGAAAAAAATATCGGAAATAACCTTCCTGTAAACTTAGGTGCTTTTTACTGGCAGGATTTGGGATGTTGAAAGATGATCTGCTTTATTGCCAAGAGGCATGTCACAATTTTATCAGCTGTGTTACTAACAAATGCAAATTAGTTAAATACCATTGGATTGAATTCTGCTCCGGCGGAGCTGAGATTTGACGAACAAAGGGGTGTAAATACTCTACGCACCGCTTTTGATATGCATTCCAGCAAGCTTTGTTATAAAGGGGAATGCGGGCTTGTGGCAGCTGTTTAGATTTCATATCTGTTTAATACGAGCCAAAGAAGATAACTGGGTAATAAGGAAATATATAGAACCAACGATAATGGTAACAGCTGTTGGAAGCTAAACTTCTGATCATATTTCTAGCTTGCGGATGTTTTCTCACATAATTCTGTTTATACTGATCCAATATGTTCTTTGAACTGGTGAACAGCATATACATACGTTATATAAAGCATATGCAGTATACATGCCCGTATATTAGGACGTTCCTCTAAATTGTCTGGGTGCAAGGCCTTATCCTGAAAAAGTTGTGAAGCGTTTTCTCCAACTGTAGTTGATCAAATTACTTTTATCCACTTCTTTCCCTATCAAGCTCACTGTAATAAACTTACGTTGAATGCGAATCAGCATGTTTATAGCAGACGGTGGATGTGCCCTTTTTCCGCCTTATCTAATCAACATACAGATGAACAACGGCCTTTAGAACGTTTACTTAGTAATAAATCTCACACAAATACCAGTCGACCGCAGATATCAGGCTGAACAGCGGTTTTTTGATTAACCTCTTACCATGGAATTTTTAAATGTTAGCCTTTTCAAACGTCCGGGTTGCATGGCTATAATTGTTTTCTACCAAGATGAGTGGTCTATTTATTTCAAGATTTCCAATTGAGAGAAAAAGCGGGTCATCTACTCATTAAGATAATCCCAAAACTGAAGATAACCTAATATATATGTTATTCTATAACTGATAATGAGTAATGTAGCCAGAGTTTTGTAAACTTGGAACATATAAACTTGGATGAAGTTGCCGTGATACCAATGGCAATCCCTTTTCTGCAGCACAAGTTCCCCAAGACCGATAACAAAGCAACTGAGACAGACTCTTCTTCCTGACCGTTTTTTTAGAGCCTGATATGGATGTTTGTCTAGGTCTAGTTTTACCGTTTATCGATAAAGCTGTCATATAAAATCATATACTAGATTTTGTAGTTCTAATTTGCATTTTTAAACAATTTTTTGCTTACGAAAAATAACTGAAAAATTGCATGTCGCGCAACCCGAGAGCTCGCTGTGTATTACACGGACGATTAGGTGAATTTCCTAAATATTTGAACTGTACCTTAAATTTATATACACTCTATTGGTATGTATACAGGTCGTAAACATACGAAATTCAAGAGGTAAAAACTAATTCAAACGACCCGTAGTTTCGGGTCAAGCTACCTAAGTGAGATTTAACAATAAGAATTAGGCGTGGTAGCATCTTGTGCTGCAAATGATTGCTCTTGTCGCAACGTTTCCCATGTATTTCACCCCAATTTAATAGAATGATGTTTTTTACATTCTGTCACATACTTCATAAATGTTAGTGTAATTGTGATACTATTTTCAAGACCCGGGTTCTATGTCAACACACAATCTCTCTCTCTCTCTCTCTCTCTCTCTCTGAACCCGTACTGTGGAGCCATTTCAAAGCCATGACTAAATAAATTGTGTAATTAATTAAACAATTTACAACAACAACAGCAATAATAATAATAATAATAATAATAATAATAACAATAACAATAACAATAAGAGCTATTGCTTTCGAAAAGCCTGGACTACGTTTTACTGGTACATGTCACGGATCTGTCATTGTGTGCCTTTAGATACAAGTGTACAGAAAATCATTTTATTCGTGGTTTTAGAAGCGATTTTGTGGTCATTATAATCCTCGCACTCGCTCTCCAGCAAATGGCGCCTACAACAGGACGGTTCATATAACATCTGCTGAACACACTTCTGAAGTTATTTTATCACCAGGAGGTTGAAAACGGGTTCACTTTCCGTTTCAGCAGTAGTGGCATTTGATGGTTGTCAAAGAGGGAAATAACAACCATTAATTAATACCATCAGAATTCACGCAAAGAGTCAAATGTATCTTTAAATGAAAACCAAAAAGAAAATTTAGAAGATAACGCCAGGGCGAGGAGTTCATATGGGACTGAATTGTGTGGTCGATATTTTTTTCATGAGAATTCTTAGATGCAGGATGGAATAGGGTATTTGCAACATCACAAAATACTTCTCACTGTGCTTTTCATATTTGTTTCAGAATTTCATTCCATTCCATGTCTTGGGCTTTGTTGATATTTGGTATATATCTGGCCACGGCAACACCTGTGATGCGTCATCCCTTTGTCACACTTAACACACTCCTAGGTGGCAACGCTGACACAAACCCTAAAGTTACGCCAACCACCAGTTATTACGAGGACCTCATAAACGTCGCATTCGCCATCAACATTGGCAAGTACGTCTATAAACTATGCCAGGACTGTATCCTTGTCGACCATGTTCTTTTCAAATTAGACAGTATTCACCACGTCGTTACTATAGCATGCTACAGCATTTTTCTACTTTTCCGAGAAAATATGGTTCTTGGCATTACGGGATTGTTGATGGAGGGGAGTCCTTTGTTTGTTGACTGTGCGAAAATAATGAAGCAGGGCAACTTGGAAAAAGACAGCAAGAATGCGTATATTTCACTGCTGATAGCATCGCTTGTGATGACGTCGATGCTGCGCCTAGTTGTTCCAGCGATTCTGCTGATTGTGTCTGCTGTGACAGCGAGCCCATTCACAATGCACTACGCCTCACTATCCGCCTTCTTCCTCAGTATTACATTCTTCACCGTGCTGAGCCTATGGACACTTAAAGCGGGGGCAGTATCTCTGAGAAAAGCCGTTATTGTCAGAAAAATGCGCACTTTTGAAAAAGCTCTCCAGCCGGTCATAAAAAACAAGGCCCCTTTAGAAGAGAGGGAAGTTATAGAACTGACAAACAGATCGTCAATTTCAGTTGTGAAAAACGACTTCCAATATTCCAGAGCTTATTCCAATATTAACGTCAACTGCCTAGACACCAACGATGTGCCCCAAAGAAATTTATCGGCGAACAAGCAAGTTAATAAAGTGAACGTGAAACTGTTACTGCAATATTCCAGGGACCACCAAACGGGACTTGATCTACAAGACACTGCTATCCACCTGCCTTCGGCTTCCGGTCAAGAGAACACACCTGCTGAGACTGGGGTGTTTTGAGATGCGGAGTAATTGGAAACAAATTTTCTGTAATCGCCGTTGCCTTAGGCGTTCGGTTAAGGGTACATACATTTATATCGGGTAAATGACGATGCGCGTTTTCAGTGACTCACATATTGTCCATGATGATTCCATGAAATTTTAATGTATGCATCTCTATAGCACTGCGTTGTTATGTAAGTGGAATAAGTGATAAAAGACTCGATAGTTTTTTGTAAAATCTCTATGGCACGTAATTCAAAATCTAAGCCAATAAACGGCAAGTGGTTCAGTTTCATATGTAATCTTTTCTTTTTTATCTTCTTTTGTTTTTTTTGTTTTTGGTGTTTTTGTTGTTATGATAATATTTAGACTTCTTCGAGAAAGATAACATTCCCCAAATTTCTAAAATAAGGTTAATTTATTCGCTGACTACCTTCTCGGTCATACGAGCTCCTAAGTCGTGACTTTGGATTACCATTACGACTTAGGTGGGCCAATAATTACAAACAGGACATTTAAATATAGACAATATACTATATGAATTCCGACACGACTTGTTCATCATGTAGTCAAGTGACTTTAAAAAATGTGGTTAAATATTGCCCCATCCTGACTGAAAATGTAATGTCGGCTGAATAGAGGCTGTACGCATGACAGTCTGATGGGAGACGGGCCAAATACTCGACTTGAGTCTCTCTCTCTCTCTCTTTTTTTTTCTTTTTTGAAGCACTGTGATAACAATTGACCATATTTAAAGCAGTCCAAACGTTCCAGAAAATCAGTCTATTGGATTTTTTTAAATGGTGTAGATTACGGTAGATCTTTACCAGGTCAAAGAAGACCCCTCCGTCAGTCTGAGTCTGTGACTGAGTTAGTACGATCTACTCTCATTCAGTGTCCTCATATTCATTCATCTGGTGATCAACGCATCTAGTTTTACCTTCACAATATTTGGCCCCTGCAGACCGTTACGCTAGCTATATGACACGCCACGAAGTCTAGGGTGCATTTACGATGTTAAATGAGGTCAATCTTTCTCAGTCACACAGACTGTAGCCTACTATTAGCTCACCTTAAGCATCAAATTCAAATCTCACTGCCCTGAAGAGAATTGTTTATTAACAGTTGCTGCTGGACGAAACAACCAAGGCTTAATAAATCACAAATTACATGACAATCAATGACAAATAATTTATCTACTTGTCCGTCATGATATTACTCGAACCCATCACAATAGGCTGTGACCTAGGATTGCAACCGGTCATCACTCTTAAGATTTATGCCCCTGGCTACATATTATGACAACTTGTATTTTGGCAACCACTGTATGTGTTTTTACATGTAAATTATAGTCCATCTAATATGCATATAGGTTTCAATATAATGAGGTTTGAAGGGCGGGACTCTGCTTGTTACAGACCTTTCCAAAAGCACGACCTCACCGCCGTCAACCTCAAAACCAGCAGGTAAGGCTTCTTATTTTAGGACCGTTTTGCTTTGCAGGCGCATTTTATTATTTATATCATATGGGGAAGGAAGGGTTGAATTAACAGACCACCTTTTTGAAAAATGAAATTGAAAAACATGAGATACAATACAACATCTGGCCTTCATAGACATCTCTTTTTCTTAAAAAAAAAGTTAGCAGCGCAGCGGACCGTGTCCTCGATGAACGATAACCCATCGTTTAATGAAGAGAGTCAACTGCTCCGTGATAAACATACAATTTTGTATACAAGCAGCTACGATGGAGGATTAAAGATGTGAAAATTAGGTCTAAACATTCAACTAGCGATCATAAGATCTCGGTGCGAAATCTCATTAGGAATGAACATTTAAGATCTTGTCCGAAAATATATGCACCTGCCTTTCCATACACTGACCACCGATGAACTTTTTTGCATAATTCCTCACCATCTTCCACGGCCGCTGTTGTACTGCCATGACCGATGTCAGACATGATAGCATACAACCGCCTATGATGCCTTCTGAATAATAAATGATTTTGTAAACGCAATCTTAGGTTCAATGACTCGAGGTTCTTGTATGACCTATATATGTACAGTATATGTAAAAAGGCGATCAGAATTTATTTTTATGTTCATTTTAATTCATTTTTTACTATTGTATTTTTGATCATTTATTTTATTTTATTTTATTTCATTTTTATTTTATTTTTTATTTTTTCATATATATAGAGAGAAGTTGTGCTATGTGTGCTTGTATTATTGTGCTCGACATTTTGGAAATCTTGTTTTGTATGTAGTGTGCGAGAGCGTGGCAGTTATTATGATTTCTATTGAATGTATTTTGCTAATATAATCGTAACATTTTATAATAGTAAGTACGGTCGAGAATCAGGTGTGTGCTTTACGCGCAAGTCTTGTGTGTATTTTGTTCTCGTAGCTTATATATCTAGTTAATAATTTATAAAATCTTCCCAAATATTAAGTTTAATCTTATGTCAGTTGTGATTTTGTCATACGTGTATTTAGTGCATTTAGAAATGTTTCAGTGTACGTGTTTTATACTTTATTACTAAAAATTGCTTATATTTACCTTGCCCGTCTATATGCAATAAATCAGATACATGTCTTTGATCGCTCATTGACAGAATTCAATAAACCAAGGCCCCTAACTTTTGGTCCAAATGTGTAAATATATTATCAACAATTAATAAGCCTTAACCCAAGCATCAGATTGAAGTCAACTTCTTTGCTTTCCTCACGACACAGTAAAAATGAATATAAATAAATGAATAACTAAGCTGATAAATAAATAAATAAAATAATAATTGATAATGATAATAGCAATAACACGTGTATTATAATGTACAGTGATGAAAAATAATGTCATTTTTTATCTACTGTACCCGTCATCACAATACATGAAAACTTGCGAAAAAAAGTTAACATTGATCCTCCTCTGATATAGACACATTTTTTAATGTTTCTGGCCACTGCTAACTTGCAGTGCAAAATATGCGGCACGGTTAATGTGTCATATGCAAGGAGGACATACGTGCCACCGTCGCTACAAAAAAAGACATTAATCAGCAGTCATAAGCCATCTGTTCTAACAGGTATAATTAAAATAATAATTTGTTAATAATAAGCCCGTGGTGAAGTGCGTTTTAATTTGCAAGCTTTTTCATTCCGTCATTGTGTTCAATGAAATGAATTTTATTGGGTCCCATACTTGTTATGAAGCACTTGGACAAAATACAGGGACTAATCTCATAGGTCTGGCCAGGCGCACACAGGCGTACAATCCGATCAATGGCTTAGCCGTATATGTTGGCCAAAATCAATGAGGATTTTAGATGAGCTTCTGCACCTTGCTCTGCTGGCGCCTAGATCTACAGGTTTTAGAGCTAAAACTTCACATAGGGTCAATTTTTTTTTCATACGAAATATCTGGTAACTGCAGAATCAAATCGATAGGCCTAAATAATCAATAATTATCCAATAGATAGATATATAGCTGGATAGATAGATAGATAGATTGGACGGATTGGTGCATAAATAATGCTCACTGAGGGATGGATTCATAGACAAGAAAGTTTAAACACGGGGAAATTCAGGAAATTAGCTCTGTATAAGTCAGAGAGGGCTCACCTTCAAACGTGGAACGGGGCGGGTGCGTACGCTTTTTTTATGTAGCGTTACAATTCATGACGTTATAGTGTTAGAGCAGGCCCGTAGCCAGGACGGCGGTTCGGGGGGTTCGAAAGAACCGCCCCTTTTGCTGGGAAAAGGTCCACATTGGGTAAAATTTGATCTAGGTACATGAAGTTTTTATGGAAAAAGGTCCACTTTTTCAGAAAAAGAACCCCCCTTTTGAAATTGCTGGCTACGGGCCTGTAGAGTATCAGTCTCGTTTTTACCAAACGTAATTAAACAGCGTAGTTCGAGCCGTGATATCTAAGCATGCATAACAAATGCAAGAACTCGAAGCATATGCTGTCTAGCCCTTAAGGTCTTGTCTCTGCAAGCTGCTCATTTTCTTTGCAGCGTGAGTGCCCTCCAGCTGCATCTGCCTGGATCAGAGCTTGAGATTAAAAAGGATGAGTTGGGAAAGGCGAGGGTTATCGAAAAAGGCTGTTAATTATTTCCACTACTGACCGACTCACTCAGCCCATAGTGGCCACACGATGGAAAATGTGGCAATAATGGTCACACGATGTAAAAATGTCGGTGATTTGTGGCCAGCGCCAAACAATGTCACTGCAAGGTCTCCGTCACCACCGTTCATGCAAGAAAAATATCGTAAAGAGCTAATTTTTGAGTCCTTTTAGTGGCGAAAATGGGCACTGGTGAGTTTCACTCTTGGAAGAGGGATAATAGGTTATTATTTATAACCTGATTTTTGTTGCTGTGACAGAAAGGTCTATCTCGCATCTGGTGCTTTTAATTGCTATTATTTTGTTACCCTGTGCGCACTGTATGTATTCTTACTGTACAAGACCAGATGCATTTTCCACTTGCACAAGATGGCCTATAACAATGATATCTAAAAATTTTCAGTGCGTCCATCTAACCATATCAACTTAGGCCTACATCACTTCTTTGTTTTCGGGATAGATTAACGCACATGCATGTGGGAGAAGACTTTCCGCGAAATACGACATATAACTATTCAATTTACGCTAAAGAATATTTTCTATTCGTTCCAAATGTCGATTTCAGCATACGCATTCATTGGTGCAAAACTATTTTTGTTGTTATATTTTCCGATTCGTTCTTCGCCGTCACCTGTTGCCATTAGATGCCTCTCATGATCTCCATCTTCGGCGCATTTTTCACAACTAAATGCGGTCTATATGAATAAAAAATAAATGTTAAAAAACCCGAGGATTTGCCTAATCTACATGTAAATGGCTTTGTGAAGTGTTACCCATTCTCCTGCAAGTGAAAGTAAAGAAAACGAAATAAGAAAAATGACGAAAACAGTGAACCGAATGAACAAACCCCATCAATAATTGTTGCTAAGCATATAATATATATATGTCAGTCTCATTATTAATGAATTGCATCCATTTTCCGCATTGTATGCGCATACCTTTTTTTTGTGTGAACGAAATGCTTTCCTGAATAATACTGCACTTTATAATATAAAGGTTTCTTCTGTATCCTTTAAGATAAAATATAAATAAAATATAAAATAAATAGATTAAATTGACAAAACAACTGGGCGCAATGCATGTATGCAAAAATCAACCAGCAATCTATAATACCATAGAGAGCAACACAGAGTAACATGACATTAACTGGTGTTTTGGTGTTTCTATTTTTTAAAAAAAATCTATGTCCTTATAATTTTCTAGTCCGCACTGCTAAAATGATCTTTCATCTTGTTTTTCTTATAGATAGGCTGCAAAAATTGTTCATAAATCTTTAAAGTCTGCAGCTTTGTCGAATTTCAATAGAAAAAAACAATATGACGCGCACGTGACAGAGTCAATTGCTGATCATGAATTGAAATTTTCGTGTACTGTTTAACTTTCCATTCAAGTGTGCTATTATCATACAATCTCCGTTGCTTACAGCGTTACTATATTCCTTTTCAATCAAAATCTAAGCATGTGACTGATTTTTACCCTAATGTCAAATTAGAGAGGATCCGTTTTCCGTTTATGTCCTTGACAATAGCTTTTCAATTTTTAATGCCAAGTTGACCTTTTGACGCTATGGCTATGAGGATGACCCGTAGCTGACAGTATGTTCAGCGTTCATGGCAACGCGTTAATCGAGTCTGAACCAGTTTTACTATAGCCAAATAAGCAGACGGAGAATTAGCAGATCGATAGGGGCTCGAAAATGGTAACAGCTGTTTCTGGAGAGTGATAGTATTCTCTCACCAGCCAGTGTAACTAATGGAGGATACATATGGGAATCTTTTGAATTGGAACTATATTAAACTGTCGATATATTGATACTGCAGCCGTTACCGCTAAGCCGAAGATCAGCCGGCATCAGGGAGCTTTGGCCCTGTGTACTGAGATCTGGAGAAGGTATCAGAATATGGACTGTTTAAGACTTAATGCAAGCTTTCGCTCTTACCCATTTTCCCCGTGATCGCTGGCCAGACGTGACCAGAGGTGGACAAAGAGTGACCCTTGGTGAACTCCAATAATAGTCCTGCCATGTGCAGTGTTATATTCGATCCGAATAGGTGACCAGGTAGGTCGAGCGCGTCACGCGTTTAACATTTCATTAAGATATATCATACTCCTGCTACTGCGGCTGCGATTGCATTAATTTAAACATAAGCCATGTCGAGTCTAAAATGTGCCATGAAACTGCAAAATTAACCAGGAATAGAGTGTATGAAGGCGTGGGTATGAGTGACACAGTAACCCTGGCCTGTGAAAAGAAACTAATACGATTTCATCAAATCGTTTTATCGCGCGTTTTAGACACCTCACGGTCATGGATAAAAAATATCAAGACCTTTGCATATATCCTCTATTTGTTTTCTTTTAAAGTCATTTAAAATACATAGTGTCGTGCATTTCTAATGCCAAATTCATTTTTATTGGTGTTTTAGTATATGTAGGTGTAAGCACATACAGTACATATCAAAAACGTAAAATAAGGAGTGCTAACGCATGAATTTTCGTGCTGAAATAATCTTGAACATTGCTTCTTTTTATGAAAAATTAAAATGCAAAATGTGATTCTCTCCTATTGTTCCAGTTCACGTATATTGATATTTTGTGGGGTTAAGGAAGTTACCTACCGCATCTCTGTGCATCTCTATACATCTCAAAAACCCATTCATCAGTGATTATTATTCGTCAATTCGTACCAATGATTATAACTTTCCTCTTAATTTTTGTTTTACAGGTATATTACATAGGAACCCATTCATAATGGCGCTATCAAGGATCGCTTTTCAGTTACTGATGAACATAATTAACCTAACGGGGGCAGCTTTTTGGCGGCTACTCGGAATAAAAATTGCCCGATTAGACGAAGAAAGCGTCTGGAGAGGATTCAGCGTGGAAGAAAAAAACCTCCTTCTTGACCCAAAGGGACCAGACCCCCACTGGAGCAAACGCCTTTCTCTGTCCCTGCAGTGCTGGGCCCAAGATTCCAAACTCACAACGTGTGGTAGACTTTTTTTGAAGTCGGTTTACGTGGATACCATAAGAGAAAGATTAAATGTGATTACAGCGTTAAGGGAGCAGGACCCAACTCAGGTAATTATATGAGTCCTGGTTAAACTCAAATGTTTAATTATTGGTTTAAGAATAAATGTAAATATTGATGGATATTATTATTATTATTATTGCTATAGTGGTCAAGATTGGAGATATGCTTGGTTTTTAATCTTTAATTAAGTTTGTAAATGGTTTGATTCCTTTGAAACATTGATTTTTTTTTTTGTTCTGTTAGCCAACGCTTTATGTTCAAAGGTGGATCCAGAGGGGCACCATGGGCATTTGCCCCCCCCCCCTCTTCATCTTCTTATCCAGCCCTTCTCCTTTATGACCTCCCCCCTCCCCCCCAAAAAAAAATTATAACAAGCGAAACGATACAATACCAAGCGATTTTCTACCCTTTTGACCCACATTAAACAATCAAACCGTCCTCGTCTACTGTTTCCCGGTGCAGCGAGGCAAAACGTTTTTATCCTTGTGTCCACCTCCCAGCAAACACGTTACCATTACGTTACCAAAACGTTTTTTTTTTTAATATATAAACGTTATGGAAACGTTATAATAATGCTCTTCATTTGTTGGGCTTTAGCAAAACACTGAATCCGCTAGTGATGTTTCTACTCTGGCGTTGAGTAGAATACAGAAAACCCAGTGCTTCTACGAATACGAATACGAATGGAAACAAGAGGAAACGTGTTAATCAGTTAAACTGATTGCATTCAGTGAGAGTCCCCGTGGAGTTGGATCGTTCTACGGAGACCAATAATTTAAATTGGAATTAGCCATTAGGTAGTCTGATGCTGATGGAGTATTGCTCTTAATAGCTCAGTCAGTCGTACAAAACATCTTTTTTAACATTTTTCAGGTTAAACCAATATGCAAGCCAATCTTCATTGTCAGCAGCAATCGGACAGGCAGTACACTGCTTCAGGCTCTTCTTGCCAGTGATCCCGCTAACACGGCGCCCCTACTGTGGGAATTGGTTCATCCAACACGCAGTAGTCCTCTTCCCAAGGGGATTTCGGACCGTCTTGGTAAAATTGAACTTCTCTGCTTTAAAAAATAACTCCAAACTTACGAACAGATTTACTGCAAAAACTTTACATATTAAGAGGCTGGTTTATTAGCGGGTTTAATATTTGAAATACATGTAGTAAGAAATGCGCATAGGCTTATCCGATATCGGTTAATTCTGAAATTAAAGGGATAATAACTCTTCGTTTTGGCCAAAAAATGAATTTTCCTGGAGTAAACAACAATTTTCCCATACTTACCAATGGTTAATGAATCAATTTTTACATTCAAAGTTAGTCCCTATTTTTTTTTCTAAAAAGTTTGGTTTTTTGTTAAAATCTCTTAAGAGATTATAACAGAGTATAGCCATCAGTTCATCGACGTCACGTGGTCTGAAGACAAGCTCAGATATCAGAATAATAGCTATAACTGCTGTTTTTGTGAGTTATTCAGTGTTTTTATTGTGAAATATAGACCTCATACGAAGAGTTATTATCCCTTTAATATTCATTGTTTTAAGAGTAAATGTCAAGTTGATGTTGGCGTTGTAGGTTCCATTTAAATTATATTTATGTAACCCAAACTTTCTCATAGTAACCACCTGCAATTTCCAGATTTTTTCTATACAATGCGACCACAGCATAGGAAAAAACACCTTATTGCACCTACGATGCCTCACGAATGCTATCACATCTACCAAAGATCTGAGGTGTGTAAGGCCTACATGGTGGTTGGCCAGAACATGGAGCCTTACAAAGCATGTATTAAAGCGTTGCCTAGGGAACACGTGCTGGAAATGTTCAGATTTTACAAGCAGCAGCTGGAATTGATCCTCAGCGGGAGAAAGGGTAAAAACATCTAACTATCGATTTTTTGTTTATTAGTCGATTAATTTATTGATCGCTACGTTGACTAGAAAATGCGTCGTTCACAACTTTCAGCATATTAATTTGTTAATTTCTTCTGTTTTCTTATCTAAATTGCACTTAACTTCAAACATATCTTTGTCCGCATTGATTTTGCATACAGAAACATGAACCATGAATTTTTTTTTTCAGACAAAACGCCAAAAACATTTATTCTTAAAGAATCGCTTCATTCCATGTTCATTGGTCCGTTGTTAGAAGTCTTCCCGGATGCAATGATCATCAACATTGTGCGCGATCCGGTAGAGTCCGTCCCATCCGCCTGCTCCATGATTGAGGATGTCTTTGCCATGGTGTACGCGGTCACAGATTTAAATCGCCAAGGACTCGGTCAGCGGGTCCTTGACCACACAGTAGACTGCGTATCAAACCTGTACAATTTTCGTCAAGAGCATCCGTCAGAGGCGCATCGGTTCATCGACGTCAGTTACGCGGACCTCACGCGCGCCCCCTTGGTAACGCTGGAGGCTATTTACACTAAGATGGGTCTAACTTTAACCAAGGCGGCCAAGGGGCGGATGATGTCGTATCTAGCTCGGAACCCCCAACACAAACACGGGCACCACGCTTACACTGCTGAGAAGTATGGGTTGACTAATGATATTATCCGCAAGAGATTGGGTGGTTTTTATTCTCAATGGAAGTAAGCTCGGCATAAACGTAGAAGTAGCGATGTAAGCCGTAATTGTGTCATTTCAGGTAGTAAGTGTTTTATTTGATAAATCTTCCGTTTTAGAGATGCACTCGTCCCTTTTGGTGTTGGTATTTGTATCACCTTTCATAGTTTGGATAGTAATGATTTATGATGCATAACAATAATCATGCTAATATAAATTGATATTGAGTTTCTTTTTTCCTGCAATAAAGAAATCTTTATGTTTTTAACTGCAAAATAAATAAATAAATAAATAAATAAATAAATAAATAAATAAATAAATAACAGAAATAAAGAAAATATTTTTAAAATCCAGTGTAAACATTGACAATAATTGTTAGAAAAGTCAAATAGTTTTCGATAAGTAAGCCTCGAAGAGAAAAGACCAATTTTTTTCAGAAGTGGGACGCGTTATTCCGTTGGTATTTAAAAAACTTTATACCATACATCCACTCAAAGTGTTTATTTATCCGGCTGTGCCATAAATTTTACAGCTTACTGGTCATTCGGACCACCAGTTTCCTAAAATCTACTGGTCCGAATCAGGATTCACTGGTCCGAATAGAAATTTCAGTAAAACTGAAAATTGGTCATTTTCCCCTATTGCATTATAGGGATAAGAACTGTTTTGGCCAAAAAACGGATTTTCCTGGGGTAAACAACGATTTCCCCATACCTACCAATGATTAATGAATCCATTCCGACATTCAAAGTTAGGGCGTGTTTTTTTCTAAAAGTTTTTTTTTTTTTTTTTTTTGTAGTAATCTCTTAAGAGATTACGGTGGCATAGCAATCTACGTAGCTCCACGTGGTTTAATGACAAGCACAGATTCTAGAATAATTGCCGTAACCGCTGTTTTGGTGGTAAAATGAAGTTTATTATATTTCTGCGAGTTGTTTAGAATAATTTTGTTGTTAAATATGAATCTTATAAGAACAGTTGTTATCCCTTTCATGTTAATAATTACAAGACCTGCTTGATTTTGTCAAATGTTTTTTCTTAATAATCATAATGCAACAGCTATATTTCAGAAAAAAGAAAATTAAATCAAATCGAAAACTCTTTGAAAACTTATTTAAAAAAAACTAATAGCAATGTCGGACCATTAAATTCACGCATTCTGAAAAATCAACTGGTCTAAACAAAAATTTACTGGGAAAGGGTGTATGACCAGTGGCTAACGCACTGGTTTATTATTCTGTCCACAGCCATAGTCCTAAGTTGGTACAGATCATGAATAAATTCAAGCCCTTTTAAACAAGGCCATATTATTTGCCTCGTACACTATCAAAATCTCTATGTGGGAGAGGCTAATGAGGTCGGACAGTTGCGACGGTGCCTCTACCACAATGAGCTGACTTTTTCATATTTAAAACAGCTGTAAATATGGTACTAAGTACTTCGGTTCCTGCATTTGAACCACCTAAACTGGTAATGGTGATGAGGGGGTGGTGTTTGTGGTAGAGAAGAAGAATCACTTGAGGGGGGGGGGGGGGGTAGTAGTAGGCCCTAGAGGGCCTAAAAATAAATAAATAAAATAAGTCGTCTTCTTACCCGTCCTACACCCGAATTTTATGTGCCGAGAACTCTACGCTGACCTAAGCAAGTTGTGAAAAAGTTTAATGCGTAGGCCTATTTAGTTATTTTGAATTACGACGTGTTTTATTTTCAAGTCCTCTCAATCGCGAAACACGGTTTTATAACGAGGATTTATTCTGGAGTCGTCTACTGTTAGTAGAGAGGGGACTATCAGAACCGAGTGGGCTGTAAGTCCAATAACGTAACTTATGTAGCGTCAGCTGTAACTGCGTGGGTATACTTATTTAAAATAAAAATTTTGAGCGCAATTCAAGGTGAGTTAATAGGTAAATAGGTAAAAGAAACGTTCAGCATTTATAACATCCAATTATTATTATTATTATTACGAAGTAATTAAATGAAACACGTAGCCTACACGTTTTCCTCTCATATCAAACTCATTGATGTACAAGCACTAGTAGGCCTACTACAAGTAGGCCCTACTAACGTTTTAAAATATCGTTAAAAGTATTATACATCATGTACCTCCCTCCTGTCCCAAACAAGCGCATGGCACTTTGAGGCCAGAAAGTATTAATTTAATATTTCACCGCCATACTACGCCTTGGAGTCTTAACCTCAGTGAATGTGTGACAAATTCGTTCTTGCCATGTATGTTTTGGTGGCGGAGCGTCTTGCAGTGCATTGCCCCCTGTCACGTAGATTGCAGGTCACGGTCAAACACGCGAATGCTTTTTAAGGGTACGGACTGCGCAGCCGAATAAGTGGATATTTCGCCTGTGCTGCCGCAAGAGACATCTACATAATATCAGCACTAAGCTTCAACTCTACTAGATACGGTGCATAGAGTAAATTGCGCAACCGGGAGTCCTAAACCCGCGGGTAAACAGAGAAAGGTCGACTCTTATCGCTGCTTTGAGAACCGGAAGTTGATACAATGTTGGGCGCACAGCGCAGAATCGTCTGCATGTCCTCGGCTTTCCGTCGGGGATTGCGGCAAACTTTACGGACGCAGGAAAACATTTTAATGATGAACGGGCCAGCACAGAAAAGATCGAAAGTTTTAACGGTGGATTCCATGAATCCTCACGTTAAACGTATGGAATATGCTGTACGAGGACCGATTGTAATTCGAGCGGGGGAGATAGAGAAAGAGATGGAACAGGTGAGTTTAATGTGTACTTGATAGGTAATATTTCATCACCTGACTTCACGGTCTAGTTAGATGTTAGGAAATGCACGTGGTTTTTTGTCCTCTTTTTTTGGTGATTTACTTTCCTTGATGTTTATTGTTGTGAAGTTGGGAACAGCGTTTTCTACATTATTTTCAATCTTGTTGATTGTAATTATGTAAATGTTTACCTCATTTATGTTATTGTTTACCTCATTTGTTATCTTATTGTTTACCACATTTCTTATGTTGATGCATTGTTTGTTACGCCCCCCTGCCCCTCTTCCGCAAACCGGGCATCCCTCTAACTGGACAGTTATCATAATTATCAACAAGTTGGGCTTTGCTAACTATAATGGCACTTTGTTTATTTCTGTGCATTTTAATAAGCCAGTTTGGCAGGTGTAGCATGGTCCAGTGAATTACTGTAGTACATGGTCCAGTGCACACAAAGCGTCATGTAGTGCATTGTCGCTTTTGGGCTTGTTGAGTTGGTTGTTATTGGTCTTGTGCATGTTTGTAGAAATATACGGATCAGTTTTGATGCTATTATGGTGTTTTGTATATTGTTTATTTATTCCATCATGCCATGGTCTTATTGAAGCATTTTTGTATGTATAAAATAAATCATCCATTGAAGTAAGAAACAGATCTGGATGTTATGAATTGTGCATTGTTGAATTTCCTTTGTTTATGTATTTGAACATATGCCAGATTTGATTTTTTGAGGTTAGCTAATGAAGGAAAACACTATTGTTTAAATTTGTTTGGAGAATGTACTATAACTGTGCTGTGTCATGAGCTTAGAAAACAAAGAAGTACATATATTTCTTTGTTTAATTTTGAAAATTTGCCATATTTTTCAATAACTGTAAATCGCCACACATTTCAAAAAAGAAAAAAAATGATAGTTACATGTACATTAAATTATTTAGTCTAAGTACATCTGATTGCTTACTCATAGTGAAAATGCCAGTGAGTCCATTGAAGTTGTGTATGGTGATAAAAATTGTAACCAAAAGTCGACTCAAAGGCTCATTCCCACTGAAACTATTGTTCTGCGTAGATCCATCCAACTTCGTACTGACTCTCATTGCAATCAGATTAACAGATTAACATGCCTATTGACATTCAGAAGAATACAGGAAGGCTGGTGATAATACGAGTACATTGGAAACAAGGGAGGCATGTTGATCTAATTGCATTCAGCGAGAGTCCCCCAAGAGTTGGATCGATCTATGTAAAACAATAGTTTCTTTATAATGAGCCCATAGACAGCTGTTAAACCTAGTGACTTTTCTTTTAATATCCTGTCCCTGTATATTTTTCACGTGATGAGCCTTGAAGGTCATGTAGAAATTGCAAATTTTTGTCTCATTAAAAAAGAGGATAACCAGATGTTTTGGGAGGAGACAACATTTTTTTTTTTTTTACATCAACTAGTCAACCACCTGTTGGAGCTGGGTGGGAAACAGCTGCGAAACGGCCCACGGCCCACGGCAGTTATATATATAAAAATACTTTTTCAAGTGTTTTTGTCATGATGATGATTACTTGACAGGATATATATTGATCTTTTTATTGATTTTTTATAAAATTTAAAAGATATTATTAGGGAAAATTTTTGGTGATTGGCACATTTTTCTGCTTGTATCTGAGTACATGCCTCTTTGGTAGAAATAATGTATATAGTACATAAAAACAGTGTATAGATAATGTAATTAATGAAAACAGAAACTAAGATAAGAATAGAAGAAGACTTATGGCCAACTTTGAGGTAGCTTGCCCTGTGCGCATTGATCTCAAAAAAAAAAAAATAATAATAATAATAAAATAAAATAAAATAAATAAAAAAAAATCAACCTAGCTTCCAAGGTCAAGCATGCAAAATAAGGCAGTGGAACATATGTTCGCCACTTCACTATATAGCAGTCTGGGTCTTATATTGCTTTACTTATAATGGTCTATGTCATAATTCACTCTATGTCATTTATTCTGTACTGAGTGAACTTCAAAGGCTCTATTCCCATAGATTTTAGATCGATCTATCTCCGCGGGGAGTCTCACTAGATTACTTTCAGATAATCCGACTTAAATGTCCGTCCCGCCTACTACAAGCTGTAAGAGGGTATATAACTTTCATGTCTGCCCGACTGACAGCTATTTAGCATGAACCCCTAGGGAGTTAAGTCGATCTAAAGTAGGTCGATCTAATCTATGGAAATGGGGTGATAGGTTAGTCACTGAGTAAACTTCTATAAATATGCTTTTTCATTTTCCTAAATAATTCAGTTTTTAACATCCTGATTGTGTAAATAACAAGATGATTGCTTCTGCTGTTCATATATTATTACCCTTATAAGTGAGATGCATATTGGGACCTGGAAACTAGTCCAGGGTGTGTACAGTATATATATAACCCAAATCCCCTTTTGTATTTGAGGGCTGATCCGTTTACCATTTACTTCGCGTACAGTTATATCANGATAAGCCAGTTTGGCAGGTGTAGCATGGTCCAGTGAATTACTGTAGTACATGGTCCAGTGCACACAAAGCGTCATGTAGTGCATTGTCACTTCTGGGCTTGTTGAGTTGGTTGTTATTGGTCTTGTGCATGTTTGTAGAAATATACGGATCAGTTTTGATGTTATTATGGTGTTTTGTATATTGTTTATTTATTCCATCATGCCATGGTCTTATTGAAGCATTTTTGTATGTATAAAATAAATCATCTATTGAAGTAAGAAACAGATCTGGATGTTATGAATTGTGCATTGTTGAATTTCCTTTGTTTATGTATTTGAACATATGCCAGATTAGATTTTTTGAGGTTAGCTAATGAAGGAAAACACTATTGTTTAAATTTGTTTGGAGAATGTACTATAACTGTGCTGTGTCATGAGCTTAGAAAACAAAGAAGTACATATATTTCTTTGTTTAATTTTGAAAATTTGCCATATTTTTCAATAACTGTAAATCGCCACACATTTCAAAAAAGAAAAAAAAATGATAGTTACATGTACATTAAATTATTTAGTCTAAGTACATTGCTTACTGATTGCTTACTCATAGTGAAAATGCCAGTGAGTCCATTGAAGTTGTGTATGGTGATGAAAATTGTAACCAAAAGTCGACTCAAAGGCTCATTCCCAATGAAACTATTGTTCTGCGTAGATCCATCCAACTTCGTATGGACTCTCATTGCAATCAATTACCAGATTAACATGCCTATTGACATTCAGAAGAATACAGAAAGGCTGGTGATAATACGAGTACATTGGAAACAAGGGAGGCATGTTGATCTAATTGCATTCAGCGAGAGTCCCCCAAGAGTTGGATCGGTCTATGTAAAACAATAGTTTCTTTGTAATGAGACCACATACAGCTGTTAAACCTGGTGACTTTTCTTTTAATATCCTGTCCCTGTATATTTTTCACATGATGAGCCTTGAAGGTCATGTAGAAATTGCAAATTTTTGTCTCATTAAAAGGATAACCAGATGTTTTGGGAGGAGACAACATTTTTTTTACATCAACTAGTCAACCACCTGCTGGAGCTGGGAAACAGCTGGGAAACGGCCCATGTTTGGCAGCTGAATGGCAACAAAGGCTTTTTAAAAAGTTGTTTATATATATAAAAATTCTTTTTCAAGTGTTTTTGTCTTGATGATTACTTGACAGGATATATATTGATCTTTTTATTGAATTTTATAAAATTTTAAAGATTTTATTAAGGAAAAAATTTGGGGATTGGCACATTTTTCTACTTGTAACCGAGTACATGCCTCTTTGGTAGAAATAATATATATACAGTACATAAGAACAGTGTATAGATAATGTAATTAATGAAAACAGAAACTAAGATAAGAATAGAATAAGACTTATGGCCAACTTTGAGGTAGCTTGCCCTGTGAGCATTGATCTCAAAAAAAAAAAAAAAAAAAAAAAAAAAATCAACCTAGCTTCCAAGGTCAAGCATGCAAAATAAGGCAGTGGAACATATGTTTGCCACTTCACTATATAGCAGTCTAGGTCTTATATTGCTTTACTTATAATGGTGGTCTATGTCATAATTCACTCTATGCCATTTGTTCCGTACTGGGTCAACCTCAATGGTTGGCCATTGAGTAAACTTCTATAAATATGCTTTTTCATTTTCCTAAATAATTCAGTTTTTAACATCCTGATTGTGTAAATGATAAGATGATTGCTTCTGCTGTTCATATATTATTACCCTTATAAGTGAGATGCATATTGGGACCTGGAAACTAGTCCAGGGTGTGTACAGTATACATATAACCCAAATCCCCTTTTGTATTTGAGGGCTGATCCGTTTACCATTTACTGTGAGTACAGATATATATACAATACAATACAGTACCAGTATATCCATTGAAAACCAGATATAAGCTGTCCCTTTATACAGTAGGCAAGCAAGGAGCTTATTTATCTACTTTGACACCCCCTTTTTTTTTGTCACAACAGTTACACCATTGAAGTACTATATCTTAGATAAGATATGCGACTTTGCATGCCAAAAACAGAAAATAAATTGGGTCTGCTTGCCTGTGTGGAAAGAATAATGTTCTTACATTGCACTGTTTGTGATCAAGAATAAATGATCAAACAAGTGGGTTCTTGGTGATACTGGATAGTAAATCTTCATGTTTAGTTACTTTGATGGGATGTGTTCATAATATGGGAGGTGGGTTGGGGGCGTAAGGTTGAGTGCTTATGTGCACGTGCATGTGTGTGCTCGTGTGCATGTTTATTTTTTTGGGTTTTTTTTGTCAAAGTTGTATATTTTCCCTTGCTGACTCACCAAGCTTCATATTTTGTACTTTCCCTGATATTTTAAAAAAATAAGTTTCTTTTAAATTCATTTTAAAAACTATTTCTAGGGCAAGGGTTTTCCATTTGAAGAGGTGATGCGTGCAAACATTGGTGACTGTCATGCCACTGGACAGAAACCCCTGACCTTCCTGAGACAGGTGAGGACATTTTGACTCTCTCATGCTCCAGATTACAGACTGTTATTGTCAAAGCCTGGATGGTAATGTCACGCTAGTGGTGGAAGACATCCTTTCTATGCAGGTCTTAGAAAGAGGCCTGTAATGTTTTTCCACATCTCAGACAAGTTTAACAATTATTTTTTCAAGCTGCTGTAATTGGCATACACTGACTGGCATTTTAATCTTATTTGTATGCCCATGGCTAGTGCAGTAATACATTGAATAATAATGAGAAATGTTTAGTCTTGCCCATTGATTTGATTTAGTTTGATTTGATTACTGAAATCATCCAACTAAAATCCATTAACTACTTTGCTGTGATGGAAATTTTTTTCATGAGCCTACATGGTGAGCTCGGGGGCCCAGACAGACACCCAGTTTTTCTTAAACATATATCTAGGTCACACATCCTGTTTCAAAAAATATATGGTTTGTTTTGTTAAGATTTGAAAAGATAGGGGTTAGTTTTATCAAAGAAAAAAATAGTGCCATGCACTATTTGCCCTGTATTGTACTGACATTATCAGTGGTTCAAAAAATGACATTTTACACTTTCAGACATCATTTTATTCCTTATATATTGCAAAAACTTTTAAGAAAAACCTTATGTTGGAATATTTAACAGTATATCATTTTGTGAAATTTAGCTAACTTACGTTCCGTATGAATAAAAAAAAATCTAACTAGAATTAAGGTGGAACAAAAATAATTTTTGACAATACAGCTCACTTTTGTTCCTTTATTTTTAGCTTTGTGTATGTACCCTACTTCTACTTATAGTGGCATATTGTCAAATTTGATTTATTAATGTACATTGAGAACACATTTCTAATTACTTCCAGGTAATTGCCTTGTGTACTTACCCAGCTCTTTTGGTAACGACAGATCTCTTTCCTGCAGATGCCAAGGAGCGTGCTCGTAGAATTCTCAATGACTGCAAGGGACACAGTATAGGTATGGACACCTGGGCATATTTCATTTAGATGCATTTGTTAACAAAACTTGTCCAGTCTGTGATGCTAACACTAGCACCATGCCAAATGCAAGAAAATTGACGCCCAGTGGAAAAATTTTGGAAAAAAATTTGTTAGATAGTAGACCCTGGTGGTCCACTTTTTAGTGCAAAATGGCCTCTGTCTTCAGGTAGAAGAGGTGAATAAACTTCACACATTTTTTTTTATTTTTGAAGAATGATTATGAATTTCAAAGATGTTTTATTTACTTTTCTTTTCGTTATTGACCTGAGTTACTCATACTTTACTGTGATTTGATCTTGTTGACTTGAACTATATTTTATTTTATGCTACATGAAAGAGAGCTGTTGCCATGCTAAGCTTATAGGTTTGTCTGTTTCCGTGCGCTTGGCAGTCCTTTGAATTGCAGTTACATATTACTGCTACCTTGTTTATCTAGGTATATCTTGGTGAGGAAAGATGCTGACCTTAACATTTTTGTTTTGTAATGTGTATGTGTTGCTGAAAGGTTGCCCAGGGAAATAAACACACAGTTACAGAGTGTATATTTCTGTAGGCTTGCCATTTCAATTAACATTTCACAGAAATCTACCAGGAATTCTTTTGGAGATAAATTCAATGTTGCTAAATGCTAGGTGAGATATTAACCCATTACTGCCCATACTTGTCTTCACTGCCTGTGATTTGCTTATGATGTATTCAATTTACAGAGCTTAGAGCAGCTAAGTGTCAATCTTCTGTATGGTAATCAATCAATAGTTCCTACTATTTAACCTACACTTTTCATAGGGAACTCCTTCTGGGCCAGAATTTTATTTCATCTCCCAAGTCTCTATCATGTGTCTGATCTTAAAGATACATACAAAGTCAATTTTTTGACGTAAAAACCAACCAAATGCCAGCATATAGTTTCAAGTAGTATAACTTATAACTTTATATAACTTTTACCGGAAAGTGATGTTAGAACAGATTTTTCTGCTAGCATTCTATGCTGTATGTCAATGGGGCAGAAAAGTAGGTCATGAAAGTAGGTTAAATTGACAACCAAAAATTTAAAGAAAGGAGCACTCTAAAGCTCTTTTATGGCTGATTGGGTGATTTATTCAGTTTGCCATGTCGAGATTATTAGAGTCGTATAAGAAACTAGTAGAAGTGGTTTACATGTGTTACTGGGAATCCACGCTCCACTGATGCTCGGTTCGTATGTACCTTTAATATATTAATTGTGGCCTTTATTTATGATAGAGTATGCATTTAAGGCACCTAAGTGGTCATATCTTTAACTGGATAGAGCACTTACATGTGTCATGACAACATTGCTAAGGATTGGTCCCTGATAACCAATTTTTTTTTTTTTTTTCAATTCAGATTGGAAAATCATTTTTCTTGACTGTTTTCTGACTTTGGTGGGCCCCACCCACCCACCCTAGTTGTGCATAAGGCCACCAAGTCATTTTCTGCAAGATACTTTTCTCTTAGTCTTATAACCCAAATTCATGTCTGTACAACCCTCTACATAATGTAGCTGCATGATAAGTTTATCCCTTACAATAAATGCATCATATTTAGTTTGAAGTTGGGGCTAGATAGAGGTGGAGGGGGTAAGGATTAGACTTTACTTTAACTTTTGCCTCAGCTCAGGTGTTGTGCCAGACTAAAGATTGCATAGTATTTTGTCTGAAAATTGTTGCTGTCGGAGCAGTCCAGGATTCTGCTTCAGGGTTGAAAGATGCTTGTTTTCTCATGAACTGTTTATCTCCCAAACCATCATAAAACCTATCTCAGAGTGAGTAGAGGTTAGATATTTTCAATTGGCAGTTAATGTTGCCTGTTGATTTGATATATTGTATATGTTGGCTCACTGCCATTTGTACCACATATGCCTATTTGTTTTACATAAGAAGATATAGATTTTTTTTCTTTTGAATTGGCCTGAAGTGCACAGAGCAGGTTTGATAACTGTAGTCTGGTTTCTTGTTGACCTACTTAGTTTAAAGGCATAATGGGGGCATTTTCCAAAATAGGTATATATAATTGGAGTTTTGTGCTTGGATAGTATTATGTGGTTACAAAGTAAGGTCTTTTTTTTATCTACTGCACTCTCGGGCCCGTAGCCAGGAAGGATTTGGAGGCTCGGAAGAACTCCCCTTTTTCCCAGGAGAAAATCCCCTCGGGTAAAATTTTATCTAGGTACATGAAACTTTCATGGTAAAAGGTTCAACTTTTACAGAAAAAGACCCCCCCCCCCCCCCCCTCTTATGAAATTGCTGGCTACAGGCCTGACTCTTACATTTCTCAGTGCATTTTTATACCAGATGATAATTGTCATATCTTTGGCCCTGATTCAGACTGCATGGTTGTGAAAATGCATTGTTCAGATTCAAGGTCACAAATAGAGATAAAAAATGAAAAATTAGATATTTAAAAAGGGGGGGGGGGTTATGGGGCAGCTGTCTAAAAATCCAACTTCCCTCGGAGAAGTGATCCATAAACAATTCAGTCACTTGCGTTTACTTGAATTCTAACAGTGCCAATAAATATATCAAGCTCTGCCAATGTGATATTCATGTTATGTATTTCATCATATATCTTATTCACTTATTTTAATTGCCAGGTTCATATAGTGATAGTGCAGGTGTAGAAGTTATCAGAAAAGATGTAGCAGCTTACATTAGTAACAGAGACGGCATCGCATGTGACTACAATGATGTCTTTCTGTCAACAGGAGCTAGTGATGCAATAAAGGTTAGTGCTTTTACAGAAGATAAGATTGAATGGTCCATTGATTGACTTATTATAAAGACAAAATGATCCTTGTTGAAATCAAGTTTGCTAACATGCGCTGTCTTGGCTTTGGTACTCAATCTCAATTAACAAAGCTATTGAATTTTAAAAAAACATTTCCAATGCTGGACATAAACAATTTCACAGCTTTGATATTCAACTTAATATCATTTTACAAAGATGTCAAAAATTTTTAAGATATTAAATGTATTGGATTCAAGTATGTGTTTATGCTTATTTGTGAGTGTGATTGTTTGTGAGGCAAAACAGTTTTGCAAAATTATAATACTCTTGTAGTATTATGGTTTTTCATGCCTTTGGTATATGTCTATTCTTAACAGTTTCCAATTCAGACTATACTGAACCTACACCTGTTATTTCTCCCCAGATTATCATGAAACTGCTGCTGACAGGTAAAGATGGAGATGAGCGTGCTGGAGTCATGATTCCCATTCCACAATATCCACTGTATTCTGCTACCACAGCTGAATACAATGCATATCAGGTAATAGTTGTCATTTTTATGTGATTTCCATTCCACAATATCCACTGTATTCTGCTGAATACAATGCATATCAGGTAATAGTTGCCATTTTTATGTGATTCCCATTCCACTATATCCACTGTATTCTGCTACCATGGCTGAGTATAATGACAGATAACAGTTGCCATTTGTTCCCATTCAACAATATCTACTGTATTCTGTTACCATTGCTGATTATAATGCATATCAGGGAAGAGTTGCCTTTTTTTTGTCTGTTTTACATGATGCTTATTCCACTATATTGATTTAAAAATCAAGTAAGTAATTGCCATGATTTTGCTTTGTTTCAGATTGATTATTACCTTGATGAAGACAACAAATGGGCTTTAGATGTCAACGAGTTGAAGAGAGCATTAAATGCTGCCAGACAGCACTGTATACCTAGAGCTATATGTGTGATCAACCCAGGAAACCCTACAGGTAAAGTACTGTTACAGTTTTAATAGGCTAACCAAACATGATCATCATATTCTATGAAATATGTACCTTTTCCATTATAAAGAGATCAAAGACACTTGATAACAAAGAGATTTGATTGTATAACATTTGTGTTGAATTGGTGTAAACCTGTAAACACAAGGTTAGAGATATTGAAGAATAACATGTTATTTTATGTCAGACTGAAAGAAAAAAAAAAAGCACATGACTTGCATATATATATATATAGTAATTTTAAAGTTGTGTTTTTGACAAAATGTTTATTGAAAATAGAAATATGTTTCTCAAATTACAAAAACAAAATTGACTCAGATCCCATGCACAATGTGGGTTCTCTTAACCACACGCAGTTTTGTAATATGTTGAAAATCAGCTACATTAATAAGCTATTAATCAATTTTTAAAATAATTTATTACAGGTCAAGTGTTAACAAAACAGAACATCATGGACATCATCAAGTTTGCTCATGAAGAAAAACTTTTTATCATGGCAGATGAGGTAGATTCTCCTACATTTTTAAATAGAGATCTCTTAGTTTCAGCACTTGCTTATATTTTAAACATTTTTTCGAGCGTTAATAGCAGTGGATATAATATTCAGGAAAGAAAGTAAGGCTTTTAAGTACACACACAGTCTATACCTATTCTCTTCATGAAAATCTAGACATTATACACTTTATCATCTGCAGGCCTGTAGCCAGCAATGCCGAAGGGAGGGTTCTTTTTCTGAAAAAAGTGGACCTTTTACCATAAAAACTTAACGTACCAAGATAAAATTTTACCCAGAGTGGAATTTTTCCCAGCAAAGGGGGGGGGGGGGGGGGGGGGTTCTTTTGAACCCCCAAAACTCTCCTTGGCTATGGGCCTGGGCTCCATATCTCGCAAAGTTTGCTATGTTGCGCACATGCACAAGTGTCTCGATTCCATAACTGATTCTATTTCGAGATACGGGGCCATGGAATCGAGACACTTGCGCACGTGCACAACATAGTGAACCTTTCGAGATATGGAGCCCTGATCTGTCTACTACATAGAACATTCTTATATGCTCACAAAAATGATTTTCCACTTTTTTCTGTCCATCTCCAGGTATACCAAGATAATGTCTATGGCAGTGACTCGGAATTCCACTCCTTTAAGAAGGTTCTTCATGAGATGGGGCCCAAGTATGCTGACCAGGAGCTGGCCTCCTTTATGTCCACTTCTAAAGGATACATGGGAGAGTAAGTCTGTATTTGATATTTCACATATATTCTTGACCAACAGAGTGTGATCATGTAATTTTTAACTATGTTAGGAATCCTCAAGGACATTTTACCTGTAAGGCGGGGGCTAATACCAGAACAGAAATAAATTGAATGGCATTTTCAGATGATTTCATTTGTTGAAATCCTGTTGATTTATCTGTCCAGAAGATTAACAAATTCATTGCCCTGTTCAAAGCCCAAGGACTAGAGCACTGCTAAATGTTTAATAAAAGACAATCACTATGTATTATATCTAGTGCCATCAAAAGAGGACCCCTAATTGTCATCAAGGGGATATGAACATTGCTATTTCCTGCCTTAAAAAGGAGAAAAGTTTAATTAGATAAAAAGGAAAAAAAAAGAGAAATTTTGACTGAATCATATTTAGCCTATGGGATTTGTATGAATACAGTATTCTGAAATCATGCATTGATCAGGGTAGAGAGATGTGCATCGTTATTGAATTTAATGTTGAATTGAGGACAAAGAACGGAAAGTTGTATGGGGTAATAGTGTTACAGTAATACAATAAGTACTTTTGAGGCCTTTATATTGAATCCAAATTGACTCTTGTCATCTTGTGTTAACTGTATCAGATCTTTAGATTACATAGAAAGGGGAAAATGGCCGATTATAAGCTCCTAATATCCCTCAGGGGGAATTATACAAATTGAATTCCCAAGCCTAGCTTTTAGCATATTGCTATCAGCTTCTCCCTCCTATTCTCTTTCTGCATTAGTTTACAGCCAGAAGGAGAGAAAGTCTGTGATTTTAACTAATACCAGTTATGCAGTGACTTCTTGAACTTTGTTAGTTCTCCTTGTAATTGAAAAGTGAATCTCAAGGGGGCTTAAAGGAAGCCACCTACATTTTAACAAGGCTGACAGTATCAAATCCTATTTCATATTTAGTTACGTTAACAGAACCCTAAATTATTATTTTCGTTTTTACACTAGGGCTGCTATACATAGCAAAATGAGTCGATTTTAAACACAGGTAAATCAATACTTTGAGTAAAACCAGATGGACAGCAACTCCTTGGGTTCTCTTTCAACTCACTTCTGGGAATATAAGCCAATATGAAAGAGAATGAAATCAGTAGCCCTGGAATTATGAGCGTACCGAACAGTGAAGTGAGGGTCTCCTTAATCGGTATCTACACTTAATATGGAAGAGTCCCTGTTGTTAATATGTATTTCTTTTCCAGGGGTTTAGTGATTTTGAAAAAAGCACCTTTTTCAAGTGTAAATCACTGTCTGAAGTATACTAATTATGTTTATAATACAATATATGAGAAGGGTCTTCCAATATTCAGTTAAAATTTTTGTCTTATTTTAGCTGTAAGAAGTGATATCATATGACCTTTTGAGGAGTAATATTGTTCTTGGATGTATGTGAATTGAAAAATTCTATACCACTGATAACCATGAAACATATTTACAAGAAACTGACATCAGTGGAAGAAAAATAAAGTTCAGTGGTAAACGTGAAAGCTACACATTTTCAACCTTAATATGATAAGTGTTTAAAGGTGTGGGGCTACTTTATTAAATAATAGTAATTCATAAACTTTAAGAAGTATTTCAAAATGAGTTACTTCAGTTATTTTATGAATATTTATATATATGTCCTCCTTATTGTCAGATTTTGAAGAACTTTAATCATTATATTGTTTCAGATGCATTGACAATTTCATGAAATGCGTCAAAAAATATGTATTACTATTATTTTAACTGTACCCCCCTGGTGCTACTTTTTCCAGGTGTGGCTACAGAGGTGGCTACTGTGAGGTCATCAACCTGGACAAAGATGTCAAGTACCAGTTACTGAAGTCTATATCAGCCAAGCTCTGCCCCAGTGTCTCAGGACAGGTGGCCATGGACGTTGTGGTGAACCCTCCTCGGAAAGAGGAGCCCTCATATGACACCTTTATGAAGGTTGGGATAAGTACATTTTTTTCATAAAACTTATTATTTTTATTTATTTATTTTTATTATTAATTTTTGTTTTGTTTTGTATCCCTAAGAACGCTTAAATTGAAAAGATTTTATGAAAAGAGTGTGAGCATTGTTTTGAAGTAGTTTAAGAAAGGTGCAGTGTTTCGTTTATGAAAAGATACAGGTTATGTCATAGTAAAATCTTTGATGTATTTTGGTCAGTTATGAGCAAACGGTACTAATAATTTTATAGGTTAAGAAATGACAAAAATGAAGAAATAGATGGATCACTGTTTGTATTTCAGGAGAAATCATTTGTCCTGGACACACTGAAGAAGAAAGCAGCCTTGGTCACAGACCTTTTCAACTCCATAGAAGGTATATCATGTAACCCAGTACAAGGAGCCATGTATGCCTTCCCCAGGATACTACTTCCAGAAAAAGCCTGCATAGAGGCAAAGGCAAGTCACGGATGGGTTTAGTATAGACAGCGACAGCACTTAATCTCTTCAGCATTGATTTTGGCTTGATTTTTTTACCCGGAACCACGATGGATTGCCGTAGGTTGTTATAAGATCTAAATTTTCTGCATCAAAACTAGACTTGTGAATGATCGTTTGCTGTAAGCTGTACATGTATCTTCATACCCAGGTCTGATAGTAAATTTGAGGTCTGATAAAAAATTTGACGTCTGATATAAAATTTGAGGGTTGGGCTCTGAACTCGAAAGCATCGTGATTTGCGACCGAGCGTAAGCGTCTCTATTCCATAACTCGGGATTTACTTGAACCATATATTAATAGCCTCGAACTAAAAGGTGATATCGCTTTTCGCAATTCACGATGCTTTCGAGTCACAGAGCCCTGATGGAAAAGTAAAGGGAACATTATCCATCAAAGGACAACAATATGACAGATGTCATCTTTTGATGTCATCTTGGAGGACTTTGTCATTCACATTTTAAATTATATATTATAATAAAACAATTATTATTATTATTATTATAACTTACAACTTTGGTCAGTATGTTGTTTTGCAAAGCTCAACCAAAGTCATTAGTTATCTGTATAGTAATAGGAAGTCTCTTTTTCACCTTTTTCTCCCAAACTACAATGAACTGTTGACAACTGACAGGTGTTAGCAATACCTTAGGGCAGTGGGAAGATAGTGGCCGTAATTTGAATTTGATTACAACTGTTAAAAGTATATTTTGAGGGCATTTTCTAGCCTTCGGCAATTTCCATAAAGCTTTAGCACATGTGACAGGATTCATATATTGTCAATAACAATGCATCAGATAGCAGAATTGCTGGCCGAGTGGCAATGTCCTTGACTGCCAAATTTGGTGGAGTGGGTTTGATTCCCACTCACTCCCCCTTTTTTTTTCCTTTTATTTTTTAAAATTATTTTTATATACTAATCTCTTATCATAGTTCAATGATTGATGAGACAGGTATCAGCTTGTATAGTAATGTATTATATACAGGAATGCAATATAGTAATAACTAGAATACTTTCATCTCATTTTCAGAAGAGAGGCCAGACCCCAGACTCATTCTATTGCTTCCAGCTCCTGGAGGAGACAGGGATCTGTGTGGTACCAGGAAGTGGGTTTGGACAGAAAGAGGGGACACATCACTTCAGGTAGTATGCATTTTTATATACAGACACTGTAAGTGTCTGTATATATTCTGATCGGTCTGTCTGTTCGTGTCATCACTGTCGCTGTCCGACACATGACATTCCCCCCATAACTGCCAAACTGTATTTTTGTTTTACTGAACATTGAACATAATTATTGAACATTTGACAGCTTTGCTGCCTTGTTTCCTGTATGGTGTCTGTATATTTGCTAGATTAATGTAAAGATACAGTGCCTGTATATATTCTGATCACTATTTTTTTTAATGGTCAGTCTAGCGTTTTTTCAGGAAAATATATGTTTCAAGTTTTTCATAGTTCACCAGGTCTATATTAAATTGATTCTTTTGATGTTGAATATCTGTATCTTCTGTTTAAAGTTGTATGTGCTCGCGTGAGCCTAAAATGTTAAATAAAATTGAATTCTGAAAATTAATATTTAACTAAAACTCCATGGCATAACGTGCAGTCAAATACTATTACAATATAATTTTCTGTTTCTTTTTTCAGGATGACTATTTTACCTCCTCTAGAGAAGGTGGAAGCTGTTCTTGGTAAATTTAAGGAGTTTCATCTGCGGTTTTTAGAAAAGTACAAGTAGGATTTTTCTATTAAGAGCTGCACTCTACCTTAAAGTTAGTATGAAGAAGTTATTTCAACTATTATTTATATTATAAGAAAATACAAGCTTGCATGTGAAATTAATGAAGACAGGTATTTAAAAATGTATTTTGAAAATTATAGCAGTTAAACAATTCCATATAACACAAAGAAAAGGCTTCCACTTTTGAACTGGAAGACATGAGTGCTATAGTATATGTAAAGTAAAGACAAGTAAATATATATAATTATATTAATTATGTTTCAGTAAGGTTGCCACTTAGTTATGGTGATTAACAGTGAGATTTTGTGTAGATTAGCACGTGAGGAGAATTTTAAAATAAGCAGCAATAATAGGGAGTGCCTCTAATTTTCTCACAACATCAACAGTGAGATAAGCTACTGTGGGAATTTATATGAGGATTAAAAATAAGCTTTTCAGTAAGTATGTAATAGGAAGCAAGCCATTGCAAAAAAATTGTTTAGTTTTAGTATAGTAGTTTGTATCATAATGTTATTGAAACCTGGCTGTACGTATATATATATATATATATATATATATATATATATATATGTATATATATATATATATATGTATATATATGTATATATGTATGTATGTATGTATTACAAAGTAAGCCTTTTCTTGTCTACGTATATAAATTGCAAAATATAATTTGAGGTCAGTTTTATATATCAGGTGCCATTTCTTTACACATGTAATTAGTTTGTTTTTTGGTGGCATTTTGTAATATTTTTTATAATAGTCTTAAGTCTCTCTCAGAAATTTTGAATTTTGTTTGACTATTGTCTTTAGGGTGTTATTTAAAGGGAACACTTTTTTTCTCTGAAAAATAAAATCCTATTTAATTTTTACATACCGTGTGGTACCGTTCCTAAGCCATGTTACATCCTTAAAATGGAATAAATAAAATTACTATTTCCTGGAAGGTTTAAGTGTAAGAATTACATGAAAGCAATTCATTTGGCTTAAGACTAGTTAAAAAGAGAGATGTTATTCAAAGTGTGCATTTATTGTTAAATTTAAAGTTTTGGACTTAATAAGGGTGATAGTGGCAACTAGAAAGTTGTTGAGAATATTGGGAAATATATATTTATTGTTTTTTCTTTTTTTTTTTTTCACTGAAATCCTGTTCATGCTCCCTTTCAAAAATGAAAATATGAAAGATATATGTGATGTTTTTGTATAGACAATTGTTATAAAATTCCACTGAATAATAAGTTTGTTAATAATTAGCTGTGAATGTTTTAAATTAGTCAATATATTTAAATCTTATACAAGAAAATGTAAGAGAGAACAATAATTTCAAGGTCTATAAGGTGAAAAAGTTCACAAGTTTTCAATCACAAGTCAAGGTCCTGAACTAGTCAGTCTATGACTGCATTCCCATAGATTTAGATCGATCCATCTAGATTGACCTAACTCCCTGGGGGTTCATGCTAAATTGCTGTCAGCCGAGCGCGCACGGTAGTTAATTACCCCCTTTCAGCTTTTAGTAGGCGGGACAGACATTTGAGCAGGCTAAGCTGACAGTAATCTAGTGAGACTCCCCACAGGGATAGATCGATCTAAAATCTGTGGGAATGGGGTCTATGAAATGAAACGTGTACAGTTAAAAAATACAGCCAAGTAATTAGACAAGCTGTACAGAAATTCTGTCTCAGACTTTTCACTTTCCCTTTGTGGGGAAAAGATGGGCATGTTGAAAAATACCTCTGCACTCACATATTTTTAAGGTCAAGGAAGAATTATTTACAATTATTGTGAAGTATGTCTGATATAAAAATATGACTAAAATATAAAAAGTGCTACATATTTTTGCAGGTGGTTTTCTGGATATGAATGTAAATTTTACAAGCATGTTATGATAGTCTTCACTCCAAGTTTTAAATGTTGGTGCCCCTGAGCGTTATCATTATTCAGTGGAAAATGTTATAGTGTGGTTGATATCATGAATACTCTACCAGGGAGTAAAATTGAAATGTCATTGTGTTTAATTGAGCAAGACATATTGAAGGAAGTTGGTGTTATGTATGAATTGTGTATAAATCTGTTGAAAATGAGTGGTGGAAATTGTTGTTGCAGTTGATACAGGTTGGATTGAAGTGGTTGTGCATGCAATGCTATGATTACAGTGGCCTGTGATTTTATTTTAAAACATGTATTTCACACAGTAATAAAAGTAACTAGTTGAAAACAAAGCTGTTTATTGTTCCATTTGGTGACCTTTTTATTTCCATGCAACTGGATTTACCTTCATACTGATGAAAAAAACGATTCCATTACAACCAGAAAATGTGGAGATGATACTACAGAATGCAAACAGTCGATACTATTTTTGACTGATTTCATTTAGATTGGTCAAGTCACGATACTAAAAAAAAACTTTTGCATGTAAAATTTACCAGCCAGCTGAAGACAATATGTTCATAACTTAACTTTTACTTTCAACTGTTTGTTTGCCACAAATCTATTTGGTCGGGTCACCACTAGAGACGTAAAACTCCAGAGACCTTATAATGACCAATGACTTAAAAGAAATGTGAATACTCATTCCTGAAGTGCAATTTGTTCATAAATTTCAATATCATGTTACAGCAATAATAATTGCAGCCATTTATTTAATTTTTTCTTTAAAATTTAAATTGTGATTTTTAAATCCAACAAAAATCTCACAATTTTGAAGGCTACCCTGAAAAAAAACAATAAGCTATGACTGCATTTTAAGTTGATCACTACACTGATAGTTTACAAATTATACAGTAGTTAAAGAATGCTACTTAGGCCTCAAAACTGGTGTTAAATACTCAAATAATAATAGTTACTTATAAGCAGTACATACCAAAGGGAAAAAAAAGACAAGTAATATTTCATATAAAATAATCTTTATTCAGTGATGATGAAACATAAAAAGAACGAAAATTAAATGATGTCCTAATCTGCCCTTTTGCAAAATATTTCGTACCAGAAACCCACATTTCAATGATTTTATGATTAACATTTCTACACAACATTGATACACACTGGCCATAAACGTGCATTGTATTTGCACCTAAATTGAAACAATTCTGGATGCGCAGTGCAACAGAGTCAGGTGAGTATTTTTTATACATGTTTCGTTAATACTAAGTAGCAAATAATAACCTGAACTGAGATTTTACACGACATGTTGTAGATTTTCTTTATGAATTTCGCTCAGTAAGATATATGCAATTAACGGTTATTAAAAGTGATTTTATCAAACAATGCGCTGCACATTTTCATTCATAATTTTCAAAACAAGAAAAACGTGATATAATACAAATATAGACCGATTCTTTAAATCAATTTGCTAAGTTATATACAAATATATGTGTGTTTTATTTGTGCATCGACAGTTAAAATATTAACTTAGTAGAGTTTACTTATGGGAAATTACCTGTAACATACAAGACAATTCAATAAACGTGTGAAAACTTTTAACGTTTTCTTATATATTTTGTAAATGCACTTTACCTGAAATATTAATAACTCGTTTACATTTTTAACCTAATAGGTAAAATAATTCACTCATATTGTGTAATGCGGTGTCATCTTCTATATGGTATATGCCCAGTCACGCGAGATGTACATGTACATTGTAGTATGTTGACTTTGAAAATGCGTTTTTATTTTATTTTGTGTGTGTGTGTGTGTGTGTGCATCATTATGCCTTTATCAAACCCTTTTTTTCGAGATATGGACTTATTGTGCTCTCAGAATAAAACAGAATATAATTCATACCGAAGCGTCCATACGGAAAGTAGGTGACCTATTTATCATTATGTAAATCAGGTGAGCGTTTTGGTGAGAGGTGCTCAGATAGGACCAAGGTCAGTAAGAAGATGGAGAAGAAGGATGCCCCATGCCATATTACAGCTACTGCCACATGAAGGTAAAAAAGATGGCTCTGAAACCGGCAGCAGTATGTCGTAAGTTCTGTACAGATGATATAAGATGTATTGTAGCATTTTTTAGTTTTGCATTGACAATTTTTTCCAAATGGTGCACTCTAGGCATAATGACCATGGGGACATCTAACTGACGTCAAGAATACTTTCTCTTAGCTTTCCCTCAGTGCCTTTGGGCACCCTTTTGTTTCTAATACCATTCGCTTTCCATGAGGGTTCAATATGAATTATGTATCTGTATAATATAAAGTTTAATTGCAATTCGTTAATTATAGCGCAAAGGATACTGGTCAGCACAAATGCCTGTAATGAGCATGTACTGTTTATCCGATTTTTATACGTTATTTCATGAGTGTGAACTTATTCCTTTATTTCCAGTGACTCGAAGTAGCGTCTACGAAGACACCAGAGAGACACGTTTCATGTTCGACAAATACCTACAGGCCCACAACCATACCAAGATTGCCTCCTATGCCGACGTTTGTGCGTTAATTTGCAGGGACGACATTTAGTATGGAATGTTATGTTTGCTTTTGGTTGTAACATTCTGCTCCAAAACGTAAATCAAATTAAAAGTCGAATAAAATTNGTAGCATTTTTTAGTTTTGCATTGACGATTTTTTCCAAATGGTGCACTCTAGGCATAATGACCATGGGGACATCTAACTGACGTCAAGAATACTTTCTCTTAGCTTTCCCTCAGTGCCTTTGGGCACCCTTTTGTTTCTAATACCATTCGCTTTCCATGAGGGTTCAATATGAATTATGTATCTGTATAATATAAAGTTTAATTGCAATTCGTTAATTATAGCGCAAAGGATACTGGTCAGCACAAATGCCTGTAATGAGCATGTACTGTTTATCCGATTTTTATACGTTATTTCATGAGTGTGAACTTATTCCTTTATTTCCAGTGACTCGAAGTAGCGTCTACGAAGACACCAGAGAGACACGTTTCATGTTCGACAAATACCTACAGGCCCACAACCATACCAAGATTGCCTCCTATGCCGACGTTTGTGCGTTAATTTGCAGGGACGACATTTAGTATGGAATGTTATGTTTGCTTTTGGTTGTAACATTCTGCTCCAAAACGTAAATCAAATTAAAAGTCGAATAAAATTAGCTTTTTATTTATGAAACTTATCATAGAAATTAAATCCATACTAAGCGTCCGCCCTGCATGATGCTGGTTTATATCTTTTGGTAATTGTACCGGTATGTTACTATGTCGTAGTACAGTTGTGGTGTTATGTATACTATTCGGTTGGGGTTGATACTCACCCCTTTTTGAACCTGAAATGTTAGATTTAAAGTGCTCATTTAACAGAAATAATGTCTGCATAAAAATGATAAAGTAACTGTTTTAAAATTCTCATATATTAATTTCCAAGAAGAGAAACGTTTTCTTTTTGTCACTGAAAATATGTGTGGGCAAATCTGCAACTTGACATCTCCCTGTGAATTTGAAGATATACTCTTATTCATTCTAAATGATGTTGACATTTCACACACATGATATCGTAAATGCATATTGGAAACTTTTAATTACA